GGCTACATGCAAGTTAAAATCGATTGGATCTACAGTAGGGACTCCGTCGAGATTGATCAGGGGTACGTCGTTCCCTGGAGCTATGTTATCATTTTCGCCGTGGTGGCCGAAATCATTGTTAACGTATAGGGGTGCTCACTGAGAGTTAAACATTTGGTCTTGGAATCAAAGATACTCCAAAGAACAAGTGTATAATAGTGTGTGTTATGAAAGTTTGTACCAAGTAACCACTATTATCCTTAGCCCCACGGTGGTCGCCAAACTGTTTGCCCTTAAAATTGGATAACAATTAAATTTATACGCATTTTTAAGAATACGTGATATAAATTGATACAAATTAAGAAAACAAATTAATATTATAATTAATGATAAGAAAATAAAGGCAAACCACACAAATTGTACAGCCTTAGCCTTTGAGTTTGATCACTCTCGAGCCAAGAAATGGCTCAACTGATGTTAGAACAGAATAACAAGATGATGAGAACTAGAAATAATAGTGTATTGCTTTTTGGTGTGTTTTATAAATGACCAAACCCCCTTTATATAGTAGGAGTGTCCTACTCTTGATACAATTCTATACAAGGTAAAAAATCTCAAGATTTGCTAATTAATCGGCCTCTTCTTGATATGTGCCGATATTTCCGCCGTGATCTCCAACCGATCGCGGATATTTCGGTCTTTCATTATTTGGCTCGGAAAATTTTCCTCGATCTTGTTCGGTCCCGGGGTCACGAGCTCGACGATCTAATTTCATGCCTTGGTTCGATATAACCCGAGCTCGAGCTTTGACCTGCCATGTTTCAGCCTCGATTGGTCATACAATAGGCGAACCCGGTTTCGACCGTATACATAGGGATCACTTTAATGGCCCTTACATGGCACAAATCCGAATTACCTGAGCTCTAAAATAGGTAGTGAACAACCACTCCACATGCTCTCTGATTATCTTTAATTGCTCGATTATTTCTAGAGAAAAGAAAGCGTATCGGGAGACGTATGCGTTGGAAACTAAACTCGTAGATCTTCAATTTTCTAGGTGGATCATCCCGTAATTTCAAACATATTGGGAGAAAAGCTCGACTATATTTGACCTAATTTTCAGCACATTTATGAATGTAACTTGTGACCTAAGACGATCTCATTTCTGAGCTTACATCAATTGACTTACGACGTACTTTTACGTACAAAAACATGAGGGTGGAACAGCAAAGCGAGCACTGAGTCATCGCAAAAGCGACAGTTGTCGCAAATGTGGAAGTTGTCCTTCCCAAGTATCATCGCAAATGCGATGAAATTGTTCGCAAATGTAAACTCCCCTATCCCAGCCCATCATCGCAAAAGCGAAAAGGATCTCGCAAATGTGGATATCGCAAATGCGATAAAAAACCTCACAAATGCAATAACAAAGCACCAGAACCAACGAAACTTCTACAAACTCCTCTGGAACGAGTCCAAAACTCATCCGAGCCCTCGGGGCACTAAACCAAATATCCACATGAGTGTAAAAATATCATACGAACTCGCTCGCATGATCAAAACATCTAAATAACATTTAGAACCACGAATCGGACATCAAAACGCATGAAAATCACATTGAATTTCAAGAACTTCTAGAATTGCAACCAAGCGTCCGAACCACATCAAACCAACTCCAAACGACACAAAATTTTGCAGACAAGTTTCAAATGATAAGACGGACCTATTCCAAGTTCCGAAACCAAAATCTGAATATGATAGCCTTAAAGTCAAACCATGGTCAAATTTAGAAAAATTTCAAATCTTTAAATTGCCAACTTCCGCCAAATGGTGCTGAAACCTTCTAGAAACATCAAAGTGCAATTTCGAGCATAGGCCCGAGGTTAAAATCACCATCAAGACCTACCAACTATCAAAACACCGATCCAGAGTCAAACACACAAAGTAAAACTTGGTCAACTCTTTCAACTTCAAGATTCTCAAGTGAGGGTCATCCTTCAAAATCAAATCTGAACCACTCAAAAACCAAAGCCGACGATGCAAGTAAGTCATAATACACCAAGTAAAGTTATTCGTGACCTCAAATCGCCGAACTGAATGTAAATACTCAAAACGACCGGTCGGGTTGTTACAGTAAACCAAACAAAAAGCAAGTCTTCTTTTATTATTTATTTATTTTTAAAAAAATTCCTAGGGAAGCCTGCATTTTTTATCCTTCGATTACTTGCTGAGTAAGTTGCCCATTGTGTAATAGATCATAAATTATACAAAAGATATAAATAGCACAAGACAAACTCAGTGCGACGAGCTCTGACAGAGTAGATTGCTGATAAGGAAAGTCATCCATGTTAAAGAAGTTTTTCTTTTTAGTTTTGTAAGGAGGCAATAATATAAGGTTGCTTAAAATATAACACGTGGAGTATCAAAAAAACAGGTTCGTGGATTCGAGTTCGGTGTTTTTTGAACGCGGAAAGTTGTCGGTGACCATCCTATCACACAATAGTCCCCCCTCTCTCTCTACTGTTGACTTTTAGCTATTGTTTTTTTAAAATAAATATAATGTTAAAGCTAGAGGAGTCCTCTATTCCCTGTATGACTAATATTATTGATTATTATGAGTTCTACCCCTGTTACTTCTATAAATTCACAATCTTTTCCTCAAATTGACTCCAACTACAAGTCAACTTTGTCTAAAGGGCCAAAAGAAAAACTTAGAGAATTTCTAAAAGATGTTGCACATATTACTTTCTTGCTTGCTTATCTTTTTAGCTTATGCATAGACTAAAGAAACTATTTTGTTAGGGAAAATTTTCAAGTGAAAAAGAAGAGTTAATCTCTCAGATAATTATTCAATTAATAGAAATGGGGTAAGAGAGTTTTTTTTAATTAATTAATAATAGAAAAGATAACTATTGAAAATTTTGTCAAAAAGCTACCTTTTTTTTCTTTTGTAACGGCAAAGCAACTCTCTATTTTTATTAATTCACCTACAAAGTCACTCTGCATATTAGGTAATAATTTCGCCGGCTTTAGTTTGATGTGATAATTTTTTTCAAGCAAACATTTTAGAAATAAAATATCACCTATTATATTTGTTTCATTGAGCGGCTCCAACAATGTGATCCTATAATTATATGGATCAAATATATAATAAAGGATCCCTTTTTATTTTACTAGTCGATGAATTCAATGTTTCTTCTCTCAGCAAGCGATTTAGGACTTTCTCTCAGTCTAGTCCAAATTTTTACTTTTGAATATTCCTTGATTTTTCTCCTCGATCATCTATTAGATTCCATCATCAAATAAAATTAACTAGACTGAAAAAGTCCTAGATCGCCTTGACTAAGAGAAGAAATGATGAAGCCTTAGTAAAATAAAAAAGAGTCCTCTAATATATAATTGACCTTTATAATTGTAGCAGGTCGGGGCATTGAAGCGGGTCAGTAAAATAGTTAATTATAATGGGTGATTTTCTTATTTTTAAAACTTTGGCTTAAAATAATTGTTACATCAACTAAAGCCACTAGAATTATTACGTGTATGTATATAGTAACTTTGTAGGTGAAATGAAAAATAAGTTATATTTCTGCTATAAAACCAAAAAAAAAGTGATTTTTTACATAATAATTATATTAGTTGTAACTTTCTCTATTACAGAACAGAAAAAAATAACTTTCTTTCACAATTTTTATTAGTTGAGTGCTCGTTTAAGAAATAACTTAAACATAAATAACCAAAGGTGAATAACCCCTAAGTTACCCACTTAAGCACAAAAAACAGGCTTGTTTTCAAAGAAAATTGTTTTCATCTAAAGGAAATCTTGAAAGTTGGAAATTGGTAGAAATTCAAATTAATTAATTTTCGTTTGTTAAAATTTCTGAATTGGTTTCTAATCCTTTGGACTTTTTGGATAAGTTTTTAAGTCAAAAGATAAAATTGAAATATCTTGACTATCTTGGAGAGTTGGAACGAGATTAAGAACTAAATGATCATAAATATAGTAATCAATAACTACCAATATATTGAGCATTAAAAACATTACTTGCATACAGACCCTTTATTTATGTATTAAAAGAATAGAACCCAAAAAATTGAGACCTTAACTTTGCACAATAACTATATCCAATTGGCTAATAGAGTACATTAAATTACCGACCAAATTAATTTTTCTTGGTTGTTTAAATATTTTGATTTATTATAATTCATTTTATATTTAAGTTTCAAAAGTTTTTCTTTTTCTCTTAAACTCCAAACTCACTCAAACACCTTGATATAAATTGAGACAGAAAGAATAATTAATAACTCTTTTCTCCCCTAAACTCCAACCTTGTTAAATTATTTCATACTCAAATTCTTTTATACAACATGTAAATGACTTTCTTTGTATAGATTCTTGTTAATATTTAGTTTATATTCACTAATAATTTAAAAAAAATCATTTTACAAGATTGCAAAATGGTACTCCCTCTGGTCCATAATAAGTGATTAATCTGCTTTTTTATTTTGGTCCAATATAAGTGTCCATTTATATAATAAAAAAAAATCAATTTATTTTTCCAAAATTACTCTTATGTATGTATCTCTAAAAAGTCATTTACTCCTCACATTTGAGAAGAGAAGTAAGTGCTACTATAACTATTCTGTAACATTTAATTAAGGGTAGTTAAGTCATATTAACTATTTTTGTCTAGAATTTATTATTTCCAAATTGGTCACTTATTGTGGACCGGAGGGAGTAATGCTTATCAATAAATTCACTTGTAAAATTTATTAATCAATAAATAAGTTGTCCGATTGAGTAAAATTTATTACACCACACTGCATAGAACTTGGTTCTTTTTCTTTTTCGTGGGAAAAGGTGTGTTGTTGCAACATATGAAACTTCATAGGCTAGCCTTGTAATTTGAGTTGAACTATTATTATTTTATATTGTAGAAATTAGAAAATTATAGAAAAAACAAATACTAGTAGTAGCAGTAGTAAAATAATAAAATAAGAAAAAGAGATTCTTGAAAAGCCGAGGCGAAGAGTCATAAATAAAAATCACAATTAGCCTTTAGCCATCATCATCCTTGTTCACTCTCTCTTCACATTTTTTTTTCCTCAACGAGATCGGCAACGCAATCTACCAGATCTGACACCCTTTTCATCATTCTCGCCCCCTATTTCTCGTATGCGGCACATAATTCATCTACTATTGAATCTGAATGTGTAGATTGTTAGTTTCTTGGATTTATTTATTTATTTATTAATTTATTGGATTTTTGGGTTATGGAAAGGAGAGTGAACGGAGGAGGGGATTATAGTCATAATAATCTGACATCCTCTTCAAGTTATATACAACACCCAGTTTCCAAATTCGATACCCTTGCTGGTGTTGCTATCAGATATGGCGTTGAGGTAAATTTAATACTACTTACTAGTACATTTTAACTTAATAATCTGATTTCATTCTTTTTCTCTCTTCTGATTATTGAGTTGAATGCGTTTTTATTCCTATAGAGTATATTAATATTGGTTTTGGACCTTTTGGTAGTTATGTACATTGCATTTCTGAAACTGAACCTGTGATCGAAAGCAACTCCCTTTCCCACTACTCTAGTATTTCTTCAACAGCTTATATATAACTGATTCCATGCAGTAATGTGCTAAAGCGACCCGTTGTTTTGTTGTGAATTTGTGTTTGCTTATATCATTTTGCAATTGGGGATTGTTTATGTGAAGTGGCTGATGATTTTATGTGGGCATACAATGTGGCAGGTGGCTGATATTAAAAGGATAAATGGCCTGGTATCAGATCTCCAAATGTTTGCCCTGAAAACACTTCATATACCGTTACCTGGGAGGCATCCCCCATCTCCAGTCTTATCAAATGGTCAAGACACACAAGGGTATTGCCCAAACATTTCTGTTAATGTTTCTTTCCTTCCTCTTTCAACTAGGCTATTGGTAACATTAGACTTTCCTGTCTAAGGAACTATAAATTTATGTTTTGCATTTCTGGTTTAGATGTGTGTTTTATTACTTGTTTATGCATGACCAATTGCTATTGTAAAATCTGTGCTGCATACTGGTATGGCAACCGTACACTTCCTCTATTTTGTATTGTGCCCAGCTGTATTTTAGCCTGTGGACACAATATTAGGAAATTGATTGTTATTTTCATCTAAGTTGCTCCAACACGGCAGTTTAGGTTCCGCACCCGTGTCGACACGACACTAGTATGGGTGTAGGTATGTATCCGTACTGGATTTGGTCCAACAATTTTGGGTATTTTGACCAGGATGAACGAAAAAACTCGACACCAGATACTATTTGATTCCCGAAATTAGAACCAAAGCTAGGGTAAATTTGAGGAAATAGCATAACTTATCTAGGAAATCAATCATTACTTATCTACAACTTGAGAATAAAAAAGAAATCCACACTTTACAAGCTATGCATAAGTATTCCACAATATTTCTCATTATATATATATATATATATATATATATATATAGATAGAGAGAGAGAGAGAGAGAGAGAATTAGTTTTAGCCGGATCTCCGTACCCGTATCTGTACAAGAATCCGTATCCCCGAATCTTAGAATTTACATCTTGAAGGATCTGATTGGTAGATCTACCCCGTGTCGGACACCCGCACCCGTGTCCGAACAACTTAGATTTTCATGCATGTGAGATGAAGTCCAAAATTCATGGCTTTCAGTTACTTGCTGCACTCCGGTTAATATAGTTCATGAAAATTTTTTCCAAAAATTGAGCTGCACAAAGTTATGGTTTTCGTGACATTTATGATGAAATAATTGATGTTCCCCTCCGCCAAATTGTATTTACTCACTATTTATTAGTATAATACTTTATCCATCTACAGATTATTATTTATGTTTGTGCTTTAATCTCTAGCTACTCGAACCATCTCTTATTGGTCCTGTGTTGTATATTGAGGTCAACCGACCTTTATTTGCTTCTGAATTTATACAGGGCGTGCTTGGTCTAGGTTTTGTTTGATGGGCTCTGTGAAAGTAAAGCTTCTAACAAATCCATTTAGCTTAGGTTAGAACTCTTCCATACACTTGTACTAATGGACTGTGTTTTGGTGTTCGAAGATTGTGGTTTCAATCAGTTTCCTGAAAAATAGTAAATAGTACTAGCCAGCATTATTTGACACTAGCTGTAGAAATAAGTAGAGATAGTGGCAAAGAAACCAAGCTGTTCATGAATGATTACTTGGGCTCATTTTTTCTTTTTGATAATTGAGATCAGCTTGATGTACTTAAGATTTATTTTTTTGATGATTCATGCTTAATAAGTGATTATTTTACGTGACGTTCTCATGGCCTTAGTTTTAAAGAGAATAGCAGAGATTCATATCAATTACAAAGAGAATGCTTTTATTTTTTCCTGTTTCAAGATTGATAAGCCTACTTGGGAGATGTTTCTTGCACTTATAACTGTTGTCATACACCTTCACAAGTTCAGTTAGTTCTTCCCTCGATTTAGGAAATATCCATACTGAAGGGGGAACAGTGTCTTACATGGGACATCTCTTAAAAACATGTTATGTATGTCATCTATTAACTAGAGGCAAATGGAATTAGGCCCCTGAGAAAATGTAGGGAACTTGTTGTGTTCAGTTTCAGGTTCAGAATTCGAAGTCACTAAAATATAAACACTATTTGATAATGAGAGATCATAGGAATTTATCACTAATCTGGCCTACACAAGTTGAGGGGAGAACCTGAACTGTGTTTTGAACTTACAAGTTTCAGCAGTAACTGTTATATGTACCTGTTGAAGTTACTTGCATGAGGATTGCTTAGTTTTATTAAGTTAATTTACCTCTGCATTGTGTATTTGTACAACTGTGCAACTACATGCAAAGTTGATTTTTATTTATTTGGCTTATTCAAACGCGAAAAACCCTGAAACCTTCTTTTCAAATATGCAAAGCTTGTCCCTTGGTTCTTTTACCTTTTCACCCTATGATCTGCAACAGTGGCTAAGTGTGACTTATTTCTTTTCAGACCTAGTTGCTCTGAGCAGACCTCTTCAAGCCGTCGACACTCTGATTTTTTCGATTCGTTTCAGTCCCTGAAACTGAAATCCTCTCCCCAGTCAAAAGTTTCGCCAGCCATGAGCAGCTTACAAGGTTATTATGGGCTTAAACCACCAGATCAGAAACGTGCATCTGAAGGATTTGAAATGGCAGAGTATCGAAAGGGAGGATCACATTATCTGGAAGACGGCCCATTTGTCAAATCCTCTCCTCTTTCAAATCCACCACTTAGTCTGCGGAGAAAATCTAAAAGTGTAGCTAATGGTTTTATGTCAGAGAATGGAGTTCCTGCCAATCATCTATCTACACAAGACAGCAGAGACAATGGTTCAGATAGATGGTTTGAGAAATTAGTGAGAAGGCGTCAAAAGTCGGAGACTGATTTCACACGTACCCCAGAAATGCTGTTGAAGGAAGATAACAGCAACAGTGGCTGGTTTTCAGCTGTTGGCGGCAAGGGCTTAGCTTTGAGACCCAAGTCAGCTAATCGAACTCTCTCTGGAGCGGATGCTGAAGCAAGTTCAATAAGTCCTATTCCTTTTGGCTTGGGGGATTCTTTCCTAAATGACAGTGCATCCGTAGTTAGGAAGTCATCAAGTACATCAAATTTGCAGGATTCAGATAGCGGTACATTGTCTTCCCTGTGGAATTTGAAGCCAGATTTTCAAGCAATTTCTACTGCAGCCATTACTAAGCCAATCTTTGATGGTCTACCTAAACCAATTACAGGTCGAAGAAACAAGACTGCGCTCGATTAGCTTATTCTTTCTACATAACCTTTTTACAAGTTCCTTTCTTAAATACTTTAGACGGAGCATCCTCCGGTGAAGTGGTAACTGGAGAGCTGAAGATAGAAGCAAACACTTTGGTCTTCTCATGGTTATATAAGCTTCCTTTGGTTTATCAATTTTGATTGGCGCAAGTTCAAAGTTGAACTGGTCTCAGAAGTTGAAGAGTTATAGCAGCAACGTTTATAATCAAATTTTGCTATAGCGTGTTGATTCATTGTGCAAATTGTGACTCACAGCATATGTATATTAGGCATTTAAGTTCATTGATCTGAAATGGAGAGAAAGGATATTGTTCATACCTATATTATATTAAAATATATAATTATTTGACATGGTTTGTGTTTTATTTCATCCCTTATGCTGGAGATTGATAATTAATTTACGTTGAATTGCTAATATTTTTCAATAAGGAGCCTCAATGTGTTTCCAGTGGGGCACTTTCATGTTTCGCGTGATGAAGAATGCAGAATGTGAGCCAGATTATCGTAAGCATTTTACATTTTCTTCTTTGTTTACCCTAAAATTCGAGTAACAATTAAACTTATATTGTGGTTTTAAGAAGGGATTTTTTCCTTCCTATACCATATATGAAACCTTATTACTAAAAATGTGCATATTTTGTAAATTACCCGCCCTGTGCACTGTTTTTCTACAATTTTTATACCATTCATTAATTAGTAATTAATAGTAGCTGAATCTTCCTAATATGACGCGCTAAAAATCAGAAAAAGAATATCCTGACCTTCAGTTCAAATTTGAACGCAAATCCTTTATCTGATCTCTCCCGAATTTTTTTCGTAATTAAAAAAAAAAAAAAGACGAAAAGCTTCAACAACTGAAATCAAATCTGTTCTTCATCTTTTTTTTTTCTCAATCCACAAATCAAAAAAACAATAAAATATAGAACAATACCTCAGCAACAACACTCAATCATGTCCAAAATCTCAATCATGCTACAATTGAATGGAAAAAATCTGATTATAAAAAATGGGTCTCATCTCTGTATTTTTTGAGAAGAAGAAGGAATGGAGAAGAGGAAGTCTGATTTTATGTTAATATCTACAAAATTCCTACATTTATCTACAAATAAACTACAAATCAGTTTAAGTATGTATAAAGCAGTATTGTTTTTAGGGGTATCTATAAAATTACTACATTTATACTACAATTAAACTACGATCAATGTTGGAAAAAAATGTTGATTACAAAATTTTCTATTCATCTACAAATAAACTACAAATCAGTTTTATAAAGCTGTATTGTTTTTAAGGGTATCTACGATATTACTACATTTATACTACTATTAAACTACGATCTATGTTGAAAAAAAAAATATTGACTACAAAATTTTCTCTTCACCTACAAAATTTCTTCAAAAAAACTACAAATAAACTACAAATCAGTTTAAGTATTGTATAAAGCTGTATTATTTTTAAGAGTATCTATAAAATTACTATATTTATACTACAATTAAACTACAATTTATGTTGAAAAAAAATATTGACTACAAAAGGTTTCCTATGTGGCATAGGAATGTAAAAATCCCAAAAAAAATATAGGGTTTCAAGATCCAATTCTGTATATAATACAACTACTAATAACCAAGACGTGCAGAAACAAAAACAAGAAAAGATGGAGAAACAGAAAGAAGAGAAGAAGGATTTCTGTGCACAAGTTACCGCTAAGCTTCTGCTGAAGGAGATCCAAAAGGGTAGTGATGCTCAGAACATTGTGCTGTCTCCATTCTCTTACACCGCTGTACTGAACATGACGGCGGCCGGAGCAACGAGACCTACTTTAAATCAAATGCTTGAATATCTTGCAGTTGAGAATATCTTAGGAATTAGGGGATAGAGAAACGTGGGATATATGGATACCTTTAATTAAGGAAAAACTGCCCATTAATTAGACCCTTAATTAAGTATGGTATAGGAATGGTAATTTGATATACTAAGTGTAATTAAATCAAATACCAATTGATAAACGAGGAATTAAATGGATAAATTAGAGAATAAAATAAATCAAACCAGTATGCAAGCCAAATTTCGACCTCGAGGTGTGATAATAAGAATAACAAATGATAAAGCAACTCTGATGAACAGTAAGCGAAATAGCAAGAGATTAATGAGTGTATATATTCTTATTAGTGAACAATGATGCTTACAAATGAATGGGATCCCTCTTTATATAATAGAGGAGTTCTAAACAAGGTACACTTCTAATTATAGTAGGAAATCATATTTGACAACTGATTAACCGCCGAAGATCAATCCATTCCGAAATTCACGCCACGATCCTCGATCCGTTGCGGATATCTCGCTCTTTCCGTTACTGAACTATATCGGCATCATTTCGAAGTATGCCCTCTTCTGACCTCGGTTGGTGATGTCGACCTCGATCTTGGAAAGAAACTCCGATCCCGGACTCGACGTCCTGGCCTTTCGACATGGTATCTCTATTTGGTCAAAGGATGAAATCGGGTAGCCCCGATTTCAAACGTATACAGATAGTCCCCTTGTTTCTTAGAGTGAAATGATAAGAAACGAGTTGAGACTCGATTTTCTGGAGACCCCAATAATGACGTCATCCCCGTGACGTAAGCGGTTGAGGTGACCGAAACGTCCCTTTGGTACGGTTCCCCAAATCATTAATGTTTGTCAGTAGGTGGTCGGCCACTAGCGCCACCAAACCGTCGCCGTGAATCTATAAATACAGTTTCTTTATTTGAATCAAAACTTTACTTCCACCTTCACCAAGTTTTCTAAGTCTTTTCCTCTCTCCATCTCTTCTCTTTCACCACTTGTTGAATCAATTTCGTTAGTACCAAAACACCAAATTTCACCTCTTTCCGCTTTCTTCTATCTGAACCAATGGCGTAAACCTCCAAGACCGTCCCACAAAAAGAGAAGGCTTCTTCCTCTTCTTCCGGCCGGCCGGTGATAAAACGTCGGTGGAATCGCTCCCTCACGAGTATGTTCCTGGTCCTTGTGTCTTAAAATCCGACTTCAAAGTCGAGAATCCTCCATCGGTCCCTGGCCGATGTGAAAATGTGTCGAGATACATCTGCTCGATAAAGGCGAGAAATATTGAGGCTGTGAAGAGAGATTGTAACTGGGGGGCCGAGGTCGTGGTATAGATTCCTGCTCCTGAAGAGAGTATTACCACTCACGTGGAGCGGTTACTAAATGTCTACACTTACCCTTCACATTGGGTCCTCTTGACCCAGTTATCGTTGACTTTTGCAAGAGATACCAGGTTACCCTCGGCCAGGTTCATCCCTCGTTCTGGCATATAGTGATCATGCTCCGCTTTTTTTCTAGCAAGGCCAAGGGGTTGGAATTCACTCTCAGCCACCTCATACGATTGTATCGGCCTCGACTTTTTATAGGATTAATCAAGCTCCAACGCCGATCAACAAAGTCCCCTTTTGTGAGCATCGATGAGGACAAGGACCAGCGTTGGATGAGCCGGTTCGTGCGGGTAAGGACCTGCGACCTCATCCTAGAGGAGAAACTGCCGTTCCCCGAGAAGTGGAACCCCGATCGTAAGTAACGTATTACCCATTAGTCATCGAACTTCATTTTTTGCTTTATGTAATGCATTCATCTGTTATGCAGCGGTTTCCTAGATGCCTCACGCGGTCCCCGACCTCGAAGATTGGTTTCGGAAGTTGGCCTCGACTTCCTCCCATGCTGAGCGCTGCGGGCGTGACTTGGCAAGGGGCAGATGGGAGGCCAAGAATCACGGTAAGCTTATCCTGTACGCTTTCGATGCTTTTTTCTGAAATGTTTCTTTTACTTATACTTAACTCCTTTTTATGTAGGCCTCGGGGATGTTGCTGAAATGAGGCCGACCCCGCCTGGGGAAGAGGTGGCTCCCAAACTGGCTAAGGACAAGAAAAGGAGAAGGGCCTCACCTTCCGATACCCCGAAGCCTAAGAAGAGTAAGGCTCGTAAGTCGAAGGACGACTCCGCCGCTCTATCTGCCGATGTCGCCCAAAAGCTACCAGATAAAGAAGAGGAGGGGGAAGATGCTGGTTGTGATCCGGTGCCTCGAAAGAGGGGGAGCATCGAAGCTTCAAAAGCAACTGGGCCGGTGATGGTCGAGGAAACTCACCCTCGGACCGAGGGGATCTCGGAAGGTGCTCCGAGCAAAGTCCCCGAGTCATCAGGGGACGAAGATATTTCCTGCCGTGATGAACAACCGGCGGGTGTGCCCAAAGGGTCCAGTTCTAGGGCTCTTCGGAAGGGAGAGAGTGCCCCAAGTGACTTGCTTGGGGAAATAAATATTGATGATTCGCCGCCTAGCCCTGAATTTTGTGAAGGGAAATTCCGGGAGGCTCGATCTATGGAGACCCCCTATGTGGGAACGGCCCACGATGGGGAAGAAAAATTCAGCGGCTACCTTGTGGGGGTCGATGATGTTTTCGACCTAGATGCGACGATCATTTCTTATGAGGCCCACCGTCTCCTAAACCAGGTAAACTTCATCCCCCAATATTACGTTTGCTTTTATTTCATTCTGTCTGATTTCTTTCCTTTCTCCATAGGTTGTGACGCTTTATCGGGAAACGTTCACCAAATCCCAAGCCGAGCTGAACCGATGTGAGGCCGATCTTAAAAGGCTTACTGAGGAGAGAGACGCCCTCAAACGCCTCTATGTGTAGAAATATGAGGAGATCAGGGACCTCCGAGCAGACTTGGCCCAGGCTCGTAAGGAAGAGACCGAGCTAGACGAGCAGGTAACTATCTTTTTGAAAGAGTACGGTCTCGACCCAACTGTGGAGGCTAATATTTCAATATCTCAATTGCAGCAAAAGCTGGAAAGGATCGAGTTGCTCCGAGGGGAAGTAGATCAAATCAAAGCTGACTGTGATCGGTGGAAGGAGAACATGGACCGGCTTGCTGCGGTGAAAGAGGCTGCCTTGGCCAAACTGTCATCGGCCGAGGTCCAACTTTGGAGCAATAAAGAGAAAAGCTCAGCCCATGCCAAAAAGATCGAGGAGCTTGAAGCCGAGATTGCTGAGGCTAAGGCGGAGGTCGGGAAGACGAAGATCATGGCTGACAAGTCCATAGCCGTGTACCTGGCCGATGCCGAGGCTGCTCAAACGCAGCTAAGGGAGGCTTCTAATCGAGAGCGATGGAGCAATGACTTGGCGAAGTGCCAATCCCGGAGGGAGACCCTCGAGGAAATCCATGCTCGAGGTTTTGACCTCTCCAAAGAGATAGCTCAAGCTAAGGCACTTAAAGCTGATGCCAGGTTGCTCGTCTCCTCTGATGATGACGGTGATGATGAAGGAAGCCAAGGGAGGTCTGATAACGACGAGGGTTGTCCTCGAGGGAGAAA